GTGTTCTCCTTTTTTCCCACTTTTTAAAAAAACCATAGAGGCAGTAATGTTGTGATATCAGTTATAGTCTGTTTCATATACATTTTACCTGGTTTTACCTGTGTTCTCCCACATTACCTTTATCATATATACAGTACTGTCATATATGTAGCTTTGACATAGTCTATTTTCAGGGTTAGGGTTAACCCTAACCCTAACCCTGCAGCCCACCAAGGAGTCAGCTCAATGCTTGCAAGGGCCGTGGACTCTGTGTTTTGGCCAGAGATCACAGTAGATATCGCCAGGGTGAGAGACAAGTGTGTTCACTGCTATCAGATGGCGAAGTTAAACCCTATGCAGCCCCCACCTGACATAACTCCTCCAGATTACCCATTTCAGATGATTTGCAGTGACTACTTCACATATAACAGTAAAGACTATGTAGTTATTGTTGACAGATATTCAAACTGGCCAATGGTATATAAGTCAGAATCAGGTGCAGAGGGACTTGTTAAGCGACTTCTTGAGACATTTGTGACATTTGGCATCCCAGAAGAGTTGACGTCCGATGGAGGCCCACAGTTCACAGCAGGGAAGTTAAGACTCAAGAGTTTTTAAAGGCCTGGGGGGTTCGTCATAGGCTTTCATCAGTTGCAAACCCACACGCTAACTGCAGAGCTGAGATGGCTGTGAAAACGGTGAAACGGATGCTGGTGGACAACATTACTGCAATTGGATTGCTGGATGTTGAAAAATTCCAGAGAGCATTACTGATGTACAGAAACTCTGTTGACCCAGTCCAGAGACAAAAGCATCCCCAGCATTAATCCTGTTTGGACGACCCATTCGTGATGCCATTCCCATATTGATGGGTAGATACTCTCCTCACGAAACATGGACCGAGTTGATGTCTCATCGAAAGATGGCACTTGCCAAAAGGCATTCAAGGGAACATGAACGGTGGAATGAACACACTCACCGCCTGCCTCCCCTACAGGTTGGAGATCATGTGTACATACAAAACTTAGTGGCCAACCACCCAAGGAGATGGGAACGCACTGGAACCGTTGTTGAAGTATGGCAATACCACCAGTTACTGTAATCCGTGTAGATGGCACAGGCCGAGTTACTATCCGAAACCGCCAGCACCTTCGGAAGTTCACTCATTTTCAAAGCAACACAAAGTACTGTGATGGTACCTCCTATGGTACAACCTCAGGAAGTAATCTTGAATTCGCCAACTCCTTCAAAGATGACACTGCCACAGGTACCCCAGATTCCTGTACTGCCATCGCCACAGGTACCCCAGATTCCTGTACTGCCATCGCCACAGGTACCCCAGATTCCTGTACTGCCATCGCCACAGGTACCCCAGATTCCTGTACCATCACCGCCACCAAGAATTCAAAATCTACCAGCTGCATTGATTGAATCCACTACCACAGCCCTTACTCCGAAAGGGGCAACTAAGACAATTCAACAGCCTCCACAACTAGATTTGGACTATTCATACCACCACAGCCCTTAACCAGATGGACATGCTTTGACCCGGATACCACGAGCTCTTTCCCGTCTTCAGCCCAACAATAAAGCTTGGGAAAAGGAGCTATTGACACCGTGCAGACCCAGCCGCCGCATCAAAACTGAATCAGAAACTTATAAATGAACAATAATAAGACACTCGGTGATTCCACAGACTTTTATTGGAAAATTGTGATAGGACTACAGCATTTAGTTTTGGTCGTGTTCAGTAGACTAACAGAACATTCCTTAAGATGGACTTATTTTTTTTCTTAAACATTATTCTTAATTTGTTTTAAGTTTTCTTCGTATACTCTTTAAAAAACTTGTCCCCCGGGGAGGAGATAACTAATCATTTGCTAATGTACTGTGTATATATACATTTCAGGTATCAGTCATCCTTATGATTAAAGATATAAAACTAGGAAGATATTGACTCTCATTTCATAACCTTGACATACTTTCAAGGTCACAGTCATTAAGATATGAAAAAAAATTCGTCTGAATAACCAGGACTCCCAGGGCAATGATAGTTGGTCAGTAGGTACCTTGTATGAAGTGCTATGAAGTTTCCTCAAATATGGTCACAAATGTCAAATATGTAAACAAAACCCACTTAAAACCTAATGATATATTTCTGACCTAGAGTAATGCTTTTTGGCCAGAAGGTACCTGGGGCAGATTGTTACAAAGTTTCCTAAAAAAAATGACCTTGTCCAACTTTTAAGGCCACTGTGATCAAATATATAAAAAATCTTTTAACCACTTCTTCTAAATAACCAGGGGCCCAGGGTGTTAATATTTGACCAATAAATACCTGGGATGTAGTGCTATGACATTTCCTCAAATGGATGACCTTTACTTTCATTGAAGGTCACATAGGTTGAATGTATTATTACTTTAAAATATCTCCTTCTGCATATCCAGGAGACCTGGTGATTGATATTTGACCAAAAGCATGCATACTGGAAAAGAAGAGTATGAAGTTTTCTCCAGTAAATGACCTTGACCTACTTTTTTGGTCACATGGATCAAATGTGTAAAAACAAAGAGTGGCATCAATGAAATTAAGTTGACTTACTTGACCAAATTTAGTATGAAATATCCTTTGATCAAGATCTAGAGGACTCATTGTTGGATAAACTGAGGGTCTGGCTCCCGAGGTATTATAGGATAGGATGAGGCTCAATAGAGGTAACCAAAGATAATTCTCCTTCATACAGATTAAGTTTTTTTGAGGACATTTTCCCATAATGACTTGAATAAGCAATTAAAGCCCTCTGAGCCTCTTGTTTAAGGTGTTTGAGAATATGTTTGAAGGGAGCTAATTTTTATTCATGGTTTTATATGTTATTTAAAAAAAATAAAAAATAAAAGACAATATTGGAGCACATTATTGACATCAACTTTCAGAAAATGAAGTTAAGTACAGTTTGTTTCCAATTTCAACATTATTGTAAATATTTAACTTTCTTGAGTATGTACGTGATCTAGCATGAATATAGTAATAACTTGTAACATTTAGATAATTTGAATGACCCTTACAATGTATTTGCCCTTTGACCCCTAATATTTTGTTTTATTTGGTAAATCTAAATATATATTGAAGGAGAGAAAAAATGCATGGATAGACGGGGATTCAAACCCAGTACCCTCTGAACTCAAGATGGATGCTCTACCTGAATTGAGCTACCTGGTCACCAGTCTATTTCTACTATATTAATCCCTCCAATGTCTTAATCTTTACCCCCAAAGACAACAATATTTTACAACCCAGGTTGGGTCTTTGCCAAGCATACCTGCACCTAGTACTTACAACATGGGTACGTGCACTGTAACACTGTTATTTTTGCCATGTAATGTTAATGTGTATGATGAAATGTATTTGTTAAGGCATTTCTTAGCTGATATAACTTGTGCCTGATCCTTTGTTGAATGACAAATACAATTTGTTTAAATAAAAAGAGGAAAAATTCAAGCGCAGTCCAGGATTTGAACCCAGGATCTTCTGAAATCTAGATGGAAACTATACCAATTGAGCTACATGGTCCAGTTCCGCTACATACCAAATATCCTCTTGTACACTAGTATGTTTGTAACAAAAAACAGTCAAATTGTATGCAGTACAGCATGTGATGGGTGTTTATTGTTATGCCCTAATCTTGTTTCACCTTGTCAATTATCAAAAGTTGTCAAAATAGCTCTACAGAGCTTGTAAACTCTGGATTTTTAAAACACAGATTTATAACTAAAATATACCTGATCATATTTCTTTGTAGGTGCTGCAATGGGCAAACAAGACTGCTGAATTTGTGTTGCCTTTATACTGTTTTGACCCTCGCCATTTCCAAGGAACCTATCATTTTGGTTTCCCTAAAACTGGTGCTCACCGAGCCAAGTTCCTCCTGGAAAGCGTTGCAGATCTTCAGAATACACTTAAGAGTAAAGGAAGGTATGTACAAAAAACAAAGTTAAGGATGCATGCTTCATAACTTACAGTGACTTTTATCTTCTTTCAAAGAGAGTTCCACCCAAAGAAAGGTATACATTGTGTCCAACAGTAATGTGGATGATAAACAATAATGTGGATGATAAACAGTAATGTGGATGATAAACAGTAATGTGGATGATAAACAATAATGTGGATGATAAGCAGTAATGTGTTTGATAAACAGTAATGTGGATGATAAACAATAATGTGGATGATAAGCTGTAATGTGGATGATAAACAATAATGTGGATGATAAACAATAATGTGGATGATAAACAATAATGCGGATGATAAACAGTAATGTGGACGATAAACAGTAATGTGGATGATAAACAATAATGTGGATGATAAACAATAATGTGGATGATAAGCAGTAATGTTGATGATAAACAATAATGTGGATGATAAGCAGAAATGTGGATGATAACCAATAATGTGGATGATAAACAATAATGTGGATGATAAACAGTAATGTGGATGATAAGCAATAATGTGGATGATAAACAATAATGTGGATGATATACAGTAATGTGGATGATAAACAGTAATGTGGATGATAAACAATAATGTGGATGATAAGCAGTAATGTGGATGATAACAGTAATGTGGGCGATAAACAGTAATGTGGATGATAAGCAGTAGTGTGGATGATAAACAGTAATGTGGATGATAAGCAGTAATGTGGATGATAAACAATAATGTGGATGATAAACAGTAAAGTGGACAATAAAGTTAATTTGATTAATTGATAACACATTTAAAAGATAAATAAAAATGCATGTATTTCTTACAATGAAGGAAGTTTTGAGTTTATTTTAAAATACTCATATGTATGTTTATAGTAATGCTTATTAAATATTTATGATGGGAGCTATGTGTATGCACAGACAACTGCATCACAGGCAACTGAATATTTGTCATATATATGAGTTTTTCTTAGAATTAGCAACAGGTAACTAGATATTATAATGAGCTGTGATTTAGAAAGTCTAGAAAGTACTTGTCATATTTGAAAAATGGTATGAGAGTTTAGAATGGTAAAACATTTAAAAGGGACTGGAGAAAGCGTGAAGAACATGGTATGCATAAATTAGCACATATCATTGGCAGTGATCACCTCTTCTTGTCTGTCTTGTATTTGCATGATATGATATATCTGCTTCTAATGGTTTGGTTTATCTGTCCATTATTACAATAGTGTGTGACATCATGTTGTGATGAGTGATATATC